GAGAGAGAGAGAGAGAGAGAGAGAGAGAGAGAGAGAGAGAGAGAAGTGAGTCCCCTTTGGCAGATGGAAGGGAACTACTCAGCCTTGGGGCAGGGTGGTTGTAATGAAATGGCCTGTCATTCTGTAAATAGTGAGGACCATCTTTTCTATGTGATGGAAGATATCACATTGCAGTTAAAATGGGAATGTCAATAAAATTAATCTTCCAGTTCTTTGCTCAGGATATTTTTGTTTCTTTTCTTAAAGAGGGTTAGATGGTTGCAACCCTTATGCATTCATGCATGTATGCTTAAGACATACCAAAGAAAAGGTGTGTGAGTAATACCAATAAAGGAGAAATAAAATTTAAAGTTTGGAGGAAAATAGTCTGTATAGCAGTAATGCATTTAATTTAACAGCGCTAAAGAACTAGAAAAGAGGCAATAGGAATTAGTTTGTGGGTCTATAGCATTCCTCAGGAAGCCATGAAGCCTCTGACTCAGGCTACATTGAGCACAGAGTTTATTGTTTTAGGCTTTCTTGGACAAGGTTTTTACTTAGCATGGGATTTATGGCATTTACTGCTAATGAATGTCTATTCTTAAATTACAAAACCACCGTCTCAGTGCAATTCCCAGATGTCCTTCCAGGACCTCAGCTTCTTAAACACCAGCAGGGAGCATAAACTCTCCACTTCTCTGTTTTCCTCTTTCGTGTGGCTCCGGGCTAATGATGTGTAAGGAAAACACAGCAATCTATAAAGTCTCAGTGCTGTCCCAGTATTCTTCATTTATTTTGCATTTGATTATGCCACAAGTCGGATCTTGTTTCTTTCCTTTTTTTAAGAGTTATTAGTTCAAATATTAATGTAGGAATATGGCATATATTGCTGCTCTTGATTGATGCCTTCCCAAAAACAGGAAGACGTGCTCGTATGAATTTTAAGAAAGTAGGGGTCCTGCAATGCCTTGCCAGAAGAGTTTTTCAGATACATAATTTAGATGCCCTCCAGGCATGCTTTCAAGGCATTTTTGCTGGAGGGCAAGAAAAAATAACTATGACTGTTAAAAGTAAATGATTTTTTGCTAATGCACAATTAATGCCAGGAAAAACCACTGAAGAGAAAGATGTTGATGGAAAGTTCTGATTAAGTAAGCACCCAACCTTGATGTACATCTTTTTTTTTTTTTTTTTTAGAAATAGGATAATAATCATTGATGCAGACACAAAGGTTTTCATGTTTTGCAAAAACCGTTCAGGATCATGCTAGATATGTTTATGTTTGCGGACTTGCGTGTACAAGCTTACATCCATGCATGCATTATAGGAAGATGAGAGCCTATAGGGAAGGGATGAGCTGATAATATGTTACATTCATTAAACAGTAAAATATTTATTGTCACCTATGCAGAGGCTTCAAAATATGTAGACTACAGAACATTTAATTTGAGGGTTGCAAGGAATGCATTTATAGCAAATAGGTTTTCTCGTGGTAGATTTTCACAGTTTGTATCCTATAACTTAAAAAGAGATATTGTACTATGTAAAATACACATCTATAATTGAATTAATGTGCATGTATGCAGTATAAAAGTAATATTTGGATGGACAATGGTTTCTAACTTTTTGTATTTGCATCAAAATTATATTTAATAAGACATTAAAATACTGGATATTTTCATATATGAATAACAGTTCATTAGTGCTTGAGTAGTTAATCTGATTAATAAAATGGTCTTACAATGGTTGTTTATTGTCTCTTGTCGTATTTCTTTTTCTTTTAGGGGATGGTTTAGACAACAGTGTAGCGTCTCCCGGCACAGGTGATGATGATGATCCAGACAAGGATAAAAAGCGTCAAAAGAAAAGAGGAATCTTCCCCAAAGTAGCAACAAATATCATGAGAGCGTGGCTTTTCCAACATCTCACAGTAAGTGGACTTTTAAAGAATTTAAAGAATTTTAAAGAATTCTATTGAACAAAAGTCCTTATAGTTAATTTTCTTTTTCAGAATTTAAAATCTATTCACTTATTACTTTAATATAAAAAAAACTTGATTTTTGCCATTGGGCCTGGGAATCTCATGGGAGCCCTGTGAAATGTTCCATTGTGCATAAGTTTAGAAAGCACTCTCCCTTGATTTTTTCTTATTATATAATTGTAACTGTTTTTATTGTACAGGTAGTCTTAATTTAGTGATTTGGGAAAGCAACTGTGTTGTTAAGTGAAGTGATTGCTATGTGAAACATCTTTTACAATTCTAATTCACTTTACTTAGCTCACAGACCTGCAAAGGTTGCAAATGCGAGTCTTGGTTGCAAAGTTTCTTTTTCATCATTGTTGTAACTATGAATGATTGCTGAATGAGGCAGTCGCTAAATGAGGACTACTTACATTTAATGGGTTTTGTTTTAATTAGGTTGATTATTTTGTTTTATTTTTTAATTTTGGGCGCTACTTTGAGTCATAAACATGAGGTGTGAGGCTGTATAAATTCAATAAATAAAACAGTAAAATGTATTAAGATATTGTAGGTTGATATTTTACTGTGATGTAAATTTTAGAGTGATATGTGTGTATAATATATGAATGATCTCAAGTAAAAAAATACAATGAAACATAACAATTAATTTTGGTGTCTTTTGCAAACAGTTTAAATCTATAGGGTACCCAATCTGGTACCTTCCACATGTGCCGGCCTTTATTTTCTATAATTCTTAGCATATCTGGAAGACACCAACTTGGAGAAGGTTGGTTCACAGTCAGAGATTTCACACGCATGCATACAGAGAAAGCTTAAATAACTTTTCAGTTATTGTGAACCAAGCAGTTCTGTGATATCATTGATGTTATTTAATGTGAGTTTCAGATCTTCACAGAATTAAACAGATGTGATTAGTCCATAGACTAGACCTTCAGAATGGTGGTATTATACTCATTTTGGAATGTACAGTACTTTTGTATGTATATTCCAAATATACAGAAAATCTATTTGTGTTGTATCAAGGATATACTTTTAATAATTTCTCAATCCTGTCTGTTTAAATTGCTCTTTTAATCTCATATTTTAAAAGCTAGCCATAATGACTTTAGGGGAAACCGATTAAAAATGGGCAAAGGAATATTTTAATAGCAACCTATGCTCTTTGCAACTGATATTTTGAGATGGTATTTTGTTTACTGTTACCATTTAGGCATGAAAATATGTATCTGCAGAAGTAGTAGTCACTTAATTTTACATGGAAATAGAAAATTATCAATTTGTGATACTTTCCACCTGTGAAGACTAATAATTTAAAAGAAAGCCCCTGTTGAACTATGACAATGATAAGTGCTTATAATTATCAACTTATATCAACTTATAATTATAGGTAGTCCTTGACTTACAACCACATTTGGGGCTCTAAATTTCTGTTGCTAAACAGGACAGTTGTTAAGTGAGTTTTGCCTCATTTATCAAACTTTCTTGCCACAGTTGTTAAATGTAAGATGTAAGAACATTATTATCAAACTAAGGTGAATTGATCTAGCCTAAAGGATCAGGATTATTCCAAATAGCCAGCATCTCTGCTAGAGTAGTGGTTATTTTTGCCTTCCAGCTATGGCCATTCCAAAGGTCAGGTGCCCCATAGTACCCAGTTGGCTCAGAGGAATTAGACAGAACATGAGTCTCTGGGCTGATTACTTAACCAAAGACAAAATAATGAGTCCTAAGCAAATACTGACTAATTGAAAGGGCTGTAAATCCATTACATATTGGTCAGGGATAATCAGGAGTATTTAATCACTTTTATCTATTCAAGAGCACTGAAGCTGCAACAGCAAAGCCCTGAACCTTGCCATGTGCTTATTATTCTCATCATTATCAAAATTACTTCACAGCTGTTCTTTGCTACATCACCTCAGCTGGAGATTTACTAACCTGTAAAATGTTTTTAATTTGGAAGTTGAGTGTAACGGGAATGATTTTTTTTAATGTTAAGGAAGTAGTTTGAAGAGCAGCACAATGATAAAGAAAAAAAATGGGGGCTATGAGTACACTCTTTCAGTTCACTTAAGCTTGATGTTAATTTCTCTCACTAAATCTTCTACATCATTTCTATGGATTTCTCCACTGCTTTTTGTTCTAAATGGCTGTGTGAAAAGTGTTCAGCTCATGCTTTCTTAGAAGCATTTGTGTAGAATGTAGAAGCATTTGTGTATATTGTATTTTGAATATCATTTTCCAGGACATTATTTAGTCTTGAAATTCTGTGCTTCCCCCCCCCCCAAACTCACTTTAAATGACTTAAAGAAATTTATGACTTAAAGAAAATCAGAAGCTTTGATGAGGATGACCTTTGAATAAGTTAAAAAAATACAATCTAATGAGTTTATAGATGTCAAAGAATGTACTATCTCATAATTCTCCAGCTTCAGAATCATAGTACAGACCTCTGATTAGTGAATTGAAAATTCAAAAGAAGTTTGCCCTAAATGCATGTAGAGGAGGGGGAAAAAATCATCCTCTTATATAGTGCCTCGTTTCATTATTATTTTTTTTTCTTTTTGGCTCTCAAGCAATGTAGTTCTTTCAAAATATATTTTTCTCCAGTCCTAAAAATAAATGTTATTTTTTATAAACACTATTTCAGAGAGAATTTATTATAAAAACAGCTTCTAATTTTAAACCTTTTCTGTTCATTACTTCTCTAACCTTATTTCAAATAGGTTGGTCCACCCTTTTGTGCTGTGTGACCTATTCTTCTATTACAATAATCTTACAATGTACCCTTTTCGCTCATTCTTTAAAGAAGAAACTAATTGAATTATCTCATTATTTTAATTTGTTAAGCAAATGTATTTTACATCCCAGGATGTGTTCTTAAAGAAGGGGCTGCTAAGGCTTTGCCCCTTGAATGGCCCATTGGTGCATTTTGACATTCATGCATTCTCATTAATGAAAGGAACATAAAAGGACTCTGGCTGTATTTTTTTTTTCAAACACCCAACCAGTATGGAACAACTTTTTCCATAACCCACAGGGGTCTCTCTACATATGTTCTCAACTGCAAGCTATTGTCACCTATTTTGAATACCTGAAAAGGACAAATGAAATACTAAAGGCCAACTGTAGCAATTGTTAGTTGTTAGTTTCAATATGACAAAAATCATTAACCTCTTCTTGGCCTGGCAGGCAAAAGTACTGAGAAAAACTCTTAAGCCACAAAACATTTTTGTATGTGGAATATTTTATCAGATACAAATATACATACATACATACACATTAACAATACTTAATGCAATAAATATTATACAATGCAATTCAAACTTTATTGTACTACTTCTGTATATTAACAAAAGTTTTTGAAAGTTGATTAAAATTCTTCATAAATTAATTTGACCTATTGTCATTAACATTTCATAATGTTATCTCCTAATTATAAATACTACAGTTCCACAATCCTACTTTTGGAACAACTTCAGAAATACAAATGGTGGGCTATATGCAAAACTTTTTTTATATAAATATCCTCTGCTTCCATTATAATCCAACCATATTCTTATTATGCAATTGGGAACTGCCTTGTGTATGGTATTACAATAGTACAGGAAGATGAAAGGATCTGAGGATGAATTGCTTGGAAGCATACTTGCTTATTCTGGATAATATCCAGTGTTTGAGTGGGTAAAGGAAATCCTAACCTGGTACTATAAGCTTTTCAGAAGTACATAAAGATTATGATATCAGAAACGTAAACCTGACATTAAGGCTGTTGTTACTTAACTTCAAAGAGAGTTAAAGAAAAGGAACAGCAAGAAATCTGACCCGTGCAAGGTTTATACATAGCCTTGGAAAGCTTTTTTTTTTCTTCCATGCCAAACAGCCCCTTAGTACACTCAATTAGTCTTTCAGACATCTCTGTTTTCCTCTCTCAAGTGCTCTCCTCTGCAAATAACATATTTGATCATAGAATGAAAACAGGAAGTATTTGTGTACAAAGATACCTCTTGCTCACACTGGTGTTAGGCTGAAAGTTTTCTTATCGTAGCAGCCACAGAAAAACTTATTGCATGATGTAAAACTGTTTTCAAGATAAATGTACATAATCAGAACTGGCAGCAGTTGCAAAGGAAGGAACTATGTAAGTTTATGATTTTTTACTTTTAGTCATCTGAGATGAGAATTGCACATTGATTCCATTCAATCTTATTTCCTTTTTAGAGGTATCTTATATAGAATTTAGATTTAAACTCAAGATTAATACATTTTATTTTTTTAAAGAAAGATTTTTATCCATTCACTTTAATTTACCATTTAAATAGTTTTTGCATGGTTTATTAAACTTAAATGTTTATTTTTATTACCATTTACAAAGAGCAGTTGTGGTTTGTTCTAATTATAAGTCTGTAAATCATTTAATATTGTGAGATCTCTGTGTTGCTCACAATTGCTTCCTGAATTGTAGTTTAAAACACTTGTTATTCATTATATTAAACTAGTTCTGAAACACTGAGATATGAAAGAATAAACTCCAGTAGGAAATGTCCATAAATGGAGCTGGCCAAGGGCATAATTGATACTATTAACTATTCTGTTCTGAATAATATTAACTGGTTAATACATAGAACCTGAGCCTCTATCATAAAACGGCAGGCTGGGGTGTTTTCGATCAAAATAGAGGTGGAAGGAATATTATTAAAGATAAGTGCATCATATTATTAATTTGTCTTAGTGCTTTAGATGATTATTCATATCAAATTCAAGCCAGCAATCAGTACATGATAATCAAGCTATCTTGTTTTTCTTTGGAATGTAGCCAGACAAGTTTTTTCTACCAGAAGTTCTCCCCGTGCAAGCTTTTTTAAACTTATGTTTTAAAGCAGTGGTTCTCAACCTGTGGGTCGGGACCCCATTTGGGGTCGATCGACCATTTCACGGGGGTCACC